CAACGTTTATTTAATCTGGATGCTAAGCAAACAGTCCTAGAAGCTAACCTGTATGAAGACCATGACATCAGAATTGGAGAAAGGCTTATTAACAACCTTTGATATGCAGATAACACAATCTTGTTTGGTGAAAGCCAACAGGACTTCAGTCGCTTACTGCAGAACCAAAGACTCTTCAGTATAGATTATAAGTCAATGTAAAGAAAGCAAAAATTCACAATCTGAAACATCATGATAAAAAGAGGAAATATTGAAGTTACCAAGGATTTCTTTTTACTTGGATCCACAATCATGCTCTTGGACGTAGCAGTAAAGAAACCAGACTATATTTTGCACTGGGTAAATCTGCTGCACAGACCTCTGTGAAGGTTTATAAAGATGTCATTTTGAGGGCTATCGTGTGCCTGACCACAGCCATGGTATTGCCAGTCGCCTCATATGCATGTGAAAGCTGTGCAGTGAATCAGGGAGATGGGATAAGAATTGGTGTGTTTCAGTTAGGATGTTGGTGAGGAATAACGAAAGTCCCACAGACTGCTGCAAGAACAAATACTGTCTTGGAAGAAGTACAGCCAGAATGTCCTTAGAAACAAAGGTGGCAAACCTCATCTCATGTGCTTTGGACACATTATCAGGAGAGACCAGTCCCTCAGGAAGGAGATCATGGTATGTAAAAAGAGGAAGACCTTGGACAAGACGGATTGGCACAGCGACTGCAACAGTGCGCTCAAGAACAATAGCACTGTGAGGATGGCACACTCCAGGGTAGTGTCTTGTTCTGTAGCGTTGGAGCCAACTCTGTGATACCTGACAGCAGCACAGTGGAATCTGAGGGGCAATGTGTAAAGTGTGGGGCACGAGTGAAGTGGCACCCTTTTTATAGTCTCCTCCCGTAGAACGTGCTTTTTCTTTTTAAATAGTGTTGGGACTTTTGCATTTCTCAATTTTAAGAATACACACTAAATTCTTATTGAATAAAATGCACTCCTGACACCATGATATGTCTACTGTGGGCTTCTAAAATGCTTACTTAGTGACCTGACATCTGTCTAACATCTGAACAAATGAAATTAAATGTACTCCTTTCAAGTTGATTCCCACTCACACTAGAAAAACCCTATCTAGTTTTCCTATAGCAGGAATACCACAAGGGTATGCCTTTAAGAACAGACATTTATTTTCTCACAGTTTTGAAGTCTGAATTTAGGGTACTGGCCCCAGGGGAAAGGTTTATTTCTTTTGTCACTTCTCAATTTATGTTCCTGGGTAGACTTTATATGGCTTAATTTCTCTCTTCCCTGATCTCTGTTTAATCACTTGCTTGTTTAATCTCTTTTTTAATAAGGTAGTCCCAAGGTGATAGATGTCTGACTGACATATAATTCATAGTTATGAACCAACCCCCTTAAAGCCTATTCTGTTAAAGATTCTAAGTATAAATTATGCCTCATAATAACCAAATGGGAACTGTTTTGTGATATCAAAACATCATCATTATTATTATTGTATCATTATGTTCTTTAACATAATAATATATTTGGAAAGTGTTATTTTAATAATTTTATGTACGGAAAGGTGCATTACATACCATATACTGAGATAAACTTTGACTAACTGATATTAAATATGAACCCTACCGATCTGTTCCATTTTACATACAAATTCCACTTAAAGACAAATTCGGAAACAGAACTGGTTCATAAGCTGAGGACTCCTTGTTTCTCAAAAGAGATTGAGCCCACTGACTAGGAAAAAATCTTTAGCAATGACATAACAGACCAGGGTTTAATTACTAAAATATACAGAATTCTTTAATACCTCAATGAGAAAAAGAAAAACAAATAATCCAATTAAAAGGTAGACTAAGTGTGATCATGAAGGGCTGAAGGGACCAGGCTTCAAACACCAAAGGCGTGGGGGGGTGGTGGGGAGGCGCCATATCATTGTAAATGAAGGTGGCGCATGATGGAGATCCAATGCCCATTTGTAGACAACTGGACATACCTTGCAGAGGGGTAGTGGGGAGGAGATGAGTCGCTTAGGGTTCAATATAGCAATAATGGAACCCACAACCTTCCTCTA